GAACCCGTGAGCTCAGGCAATCCACTCACCTCAGCCTCCCAAAGCACAGGATTACAGGCTGAGCCACCGAGCCCGGCTTGGCCCTTTTCTTTAAACCACTCTCGGCTGGGTGTGGTGGCTCACACCTGTAATCCCAATACTTTGGGAGGCCAAGATGAGAGGCTTGCTTGGGCCCAGTAGTTCAAGACCAGCTTGGGCAATATAGTGAGACCTCATCTCTACCACACAAAAAATTTGGGTGTAGGGGTGAGTGCCTATAGTCCTAGCTACTCAGGAGGCTGAGAAGGGGGGATTGCTTGAGCCCAGGAGTTTGAGGGTGCAGTGAGCCACGATTGTGCCACTGCACTTCAGCCTGGAAGACAGAGGGAGGATTGGACTAAAAAAATAAAAATAAACCACCCTTTATAAGTGAAGACTGCCACATTCATGTGAGTTTCTGCATCTGCTGCCATCTCTCTTTCTACCGGCAGCTCCAGAAGGGCCATGTCAGTCTCACTTCTGGATACCTAGATCCTGGTGGGCAGCCACCATATAGCAGGGACTCAGTGAATATTTGTTGAAGGGAAAGGGCCTGAGAGAGTGGGCAGAGAGAGGCAAGAAAACCCGGAAAGGGAAAGAAAACAGCCAAGTGAGTCCCTTTAGTTTGTTTGAGTTTCTTTGTCCAAGAGTAATAAGCCGCTGGGAATATGCTGGGTCCCTTTGATCCTCCAGCTACAAGGGATGTTGTAGGGAGGAGCTCTCAGCTGCTAACAGTAGAGACCTGATTTTAAGTCAGGCTTGAACAGTAAGATACATTTTTTTTTTTTTTTTTTTTTTTTTTTTTTGAGTTGGAGTCTCACTCTGTCACGAAGGCTGGAGGCTAGTGGTATGCTCACGGCCACCGCAACCTCGACTTCCTGGGCTCAGATGATCCTTCTGCCTCAGCCTTTCAAGTAGCTAGAACCACAGGCATGTGCCACTACACCTGGCTAATTTTTTTGATTTATTGTGGAGACGAGGTCTCGCCATGATGCTCTCAGGCTGGTCTTGAGTCCCTGAGCTCAGGCAGTCCTCTTGCCTCTGCCTCCCAAAGTGCTGGGATTACAGGCTTGAGCCACTGTGCCTGGCGCAAGATAAATGTTTTACCACATGTGACAGGAAGCCCCAAAGTAAGGTGGCTGCAGCTTGGTGTAAGCTCTGCCTTCAGGCCAGGGTGCCCACGCTTGGTAGTAGCTGGAGGTGTCACCTGGATATAGTCATGTCCTCAGAAAAGGCTGCCAGATGCTTCCTGTGCAGCTCTTTTGTGGGTAAGGCCGTCATTCCCAGAGGCCCCATGCCCTGTCCTAATCCAGGCCCTGCAAGGGGACGAAATGATCAAAGCTTCTCAAATTGTGGTCCCCAGGCTGGCACCATCAACCTCACCTGGGAGCTGTTAGACATGGGGGTATGGAGGAGAGTGATCTCTAATGAGTAAACACTTGACTCAACTGGGGCTCTCCTGAGAGGAAGTAGGGACACTGATGGGGTGCTGGCAGGGCTGAGCCATTCTCAGTGACTCGCACTGCAGGTGAAATTTGCATCCACTGTATTTAACCAGGACTGTGACGTGAACAGAGCTTAAGAGTCCTGTGCTGAGCAGTGGAGGTGCCCAGGCAGCTGGCTATGTGTGTGACTTCCCACCTCTGCCTTTCTTCTTCCTGCCAGTTATCAGAGATTCACTGACTGCTACAAGCGCTTCTACCAGTTGCAGCCTGAGGTGACAAAGCGGATCTATGACAAGTTTATAACTCAGCTGCAGACATCTATCCAGGTGAGTTGACTGGGGTTCCGTCAACAGGCCATCATTCCCCTGAGGGCAGCAGCTCCCCCACTGCCTGTTGTCTCTTCAGTCCCTAGAACCATCCTCAGTGCCCAGCAGGCTGCAGTGTCAATCTTCCTTCCCCTCCAGACGATGTGGGGGTCTCAGATGCCCCCTTCTCTTACTGTCTGCTATTGCGGTGACATGTTTCTAGGTTATGTAGTTACATGCTTCTGTGTTGTCTGCTCACTAGACTTCTAGGCGCAGCGAGGGCAGGGAGGGGTCTCAGTCTTTTTGTAACTCCAGCTCCTGGTGTGATGCCTGGCACAGAGAAGGCATTTCACAAACTGACTGAATTCGGTGGCACTGAATGCTACCAGGGCTACAAAAAAGGACACAATTCCATGCGTGTCTTTAGGGGCTGTGACGTCACTAAGCTTCCAGGCTGTTGCATCCAGGGTGGTCCTGCTATGCGCAGTATCAGCAGAACGTGCCCTGGGCATGGGAACGACAGCGAGGCTGTAGCATTCAGAGATGGTGGGTGGGGAGAGGCTTGTTGAAGGCTCTTTTTGTTTCCCATTTTATATTTTATTTCCTTAATTATAAAGCCACGTGTTGTAGAAAAGTTGGAATGTTTGGAAAAATTTAAAGACATAGAATAGAAGTTAGCCAAAATCTTATTAAGTTGTGTTAGCAATTTTGCATATTTCTACTATGGACTGGGCTAGTGCCACTTCAGCTCTCTCCTCTCTATTCAGGAGGAAATCTCTGAAATCAAAGAGGAGGGGAACCTAGAAGCTGTTCTGAATGCCTTGGATGAAATTGTGGAAGAAGGCAAAGACCGGCAAGAGCCAGCCTGGTGAGAGCAGGGGTGGGGTGAGATGGGGTAGGAGAGGAAGGCACACGGAGAGGCGGAAGTTCAGCTTATTGAGGAAGGCTCTTTAAGACCAACCCACACCCGGCGCTTTGACTTGCACTTGTAATCTCAGCTACTCGGGAGGCTAAGGTAGGAGGCTCGTTTGAAGCCAAGCATTGGAGAACAGCCTGGGCAACACAAGACCCTGTCTCTAAAATAAAAAGTAAGAAAAGAGACAGACCTACGTGAGACTCTGGACTCATGGCCCCTGAGAAAGGACAGACACCGAGTAGTAACCAAAAACAGTTGAACTTTGGAGTTCCCTCCAGGGAAGGAGAGCTCTAGGGCAGGTGTGTGTGGTCCAGGGACTTGGGGGAAAGTGGTTTGAGGCTGACCGGGGAAGCCTGCCTCGGGAGATCACTTTTACATCAGGACCTGATGGGCCTGTGGAAGAAAGGAAAGTGGGGTGGGAGGATGTGGAACAATGAGGTTTGGAAAGCTGTGTAGTTTTGGCTGGCAGGCAACTGGGTTTTCTTTGCTGTTTTGTTTTGTTTTGTTTTGTTTTGTTTTTGTTTTTGTAAAATGAGGTCTGGCTATGTTGCCCAGGCTGGTCTCAATCTCCTGGCCTCAAATGATCCTCGGCCTCCCAAAGTGCTGGGATTATAGGCATGAACCACAGCGTCCACCTCGGCAACTGGTTCTTACTCATTTGTTAATTCAACAAATGTTTAGGAGCACCTATTATATGCTCACTTCTGTTTAGATGCTAGAGTCTTAGAGGTGAACAGGAAAGGCGCAATAGCCGCTCTTCTGGGGCTGTTGTTTCGGTGGGTGGCCCAGCAGCCTAGTATGTCAAGCACAAGGCAGAGAAGTGAGGCTGGGATGTGGGGTGAAGAGCAGTGGTCATGAAGGCCACGGCAGCCCGAGCTCCTGCCTTCCTCAGCTTCCTCCTTCAACAGGGCTGCAGGCCAGAGAGAGGAGATACCTTTTCTGTACTTGCTAATGTTTTTATGTTTTGTGAACTTAATTCTTAAGATAACTAAGCCTTACAACTGAAAAATACTTTTTAGAAGAACCTCCAGTGGCTTCTACCCCTCATATATTCTTGCCTCCTCAGACCTAACTTTTCTTATCTTCTCGGATCAGGCAGCACTTCCTGGGGCCTCCCGGGGTCTGGGCCTCTGTCAGGAGCTACCCCCAGTCTCTCCAGCTCACAGTCTGATGGGATGGGTCCACCAGCAGGTCATGGCACATGGCTCCGAGGACAGAGGCAGGGGCTGAAAAATCACTTCTATCCCTTGCAGTTCTAGAGGAGAGAGATACATATATATGTGGAAGGGAGGAGGAGAGTGGGGGTGGGATTTGGAGGCTGAGACAGGGGCCAAAGTGAGAAGGGGGAGAGGCAGATCCCTGGGGGCAGCCATGAACCTTCCCAACAGCAGAAGCCCTTGGGAGGGAAGGGAGCCGGAGGAGAGACCTTGGCAGCCAGCTGGACTGGGGACTGGAGATGGGAATGTCTCTGAGGGGTTTGGAAGCAGAACCTTCTCCCATTCATGTCCCTCTCCCTCCCTTGCGGTCCTCCAGGCGCCCCAGCGGGATCCCAGAGAAAGACCTGCACAGCGCCGTGGCACCCTACTTCCTGCAGCAACGGGAGAGCCTGCGGCTCCGTGTGCGGAAACAGGAGGCTGAGAACCAGCAGCTGGCAGATGCTGTCCTGGCCGGGCGCAGGCAAGTGGAGGAGCTGCAGCGGCAGGTCCAGGCCCGGCGGCAGGCCTGGCAGGTGAGTGTCTAGCCCTGTCCGCTCTCTCTTCCTTCTCTCAAAGGCCCTCTGACCCCAGATGGGTAGCTTCCTTCATCCAGCATAAGGGGCCCCGTAGGGAGTAGGGTCTAGGTCTGACCTGTTGGTGCAGTCACTCACAGCTTCTCCTTGGATGTGTGCAGTAGTCTCTTCCCTGACCTCAGCAGGCAGGCCCCTCCTGTCAGAGGGAAATCTCACCCAAATCCACTCCTCACCCTGGTGCCGGCCTGCTCTTACTAAAGTCCAGGCACAGGTATGTGTTCACCTGCTGCAGCAAGTGAGGACACAGGCAGAGAAGGCAAGTGACTTGCCCAAGGTCATAGCTCCTCCATGTCAGAATTGGAGTTAAACCCTGTCTCCTATGGTCGTTCTACTATTCTATGTGACCGTTGCCCAATATTTTTTTTTCTTTTTTCTTTTTTTTTGTCAGGGTTTCACTCTGTTGCCCAGGCTGGAGTGCAGTGGCATGATCACCGCTCACTGCAGCCTCGACCTCCTGGCTCAGGCAGTGCTTCTGTCTCAGCCTTCTGAGTTGCTGGGACTCCTGAGTTGCTGCACCACCATATCCAGCTAATTTTTAAAATTTTTGTAGAGATGAGATTTTGCTGTGTTGTCCAGTCTGGTCTCAAACTCCTGTGCTCAGATAATCCTTTTGCCTCGGTCTCCCAAAATGTTGGGATTACAAGCGTGAGCCACCATGCCTGGCTATTTTTTCTTTTTTTTTTTGAGTTGGAGTCTCACTCAGTTGCCCAGACTAGAGTGCAGTGGCCACTCCTGGCCACTGCAGCCGCGACCTGCTGGGCTCTGGCGATCCTTCCGCCTCAGCCTTCCGAGTAGCCGGAATTACAGGCGCGTGCTACCGCGCCCAGCTAATTTTTTGATTTTATTGTAGAGATGAGGTCTTGCCTGCTCAGGCGGGTCTCGAACCCGCGGGCTCAGGCAATCCACTCACCTCAGCCTCCCAAAGGCGCGGGATTACAGGCTGAGCCACCGAGCCCGGTCTGGGATTATTTATTTATTTATTTTTTTGAGTTGGAGTCTCACTCAGTCGCCCAGACTGGAGTGCAGTGGCCGCTCCAGGCCACCGCAGCCTCGACCTGCTGGGCTCCGGTGATCTTTCTGCCTCAGCCTTCCTAGTAGCTGGAATTACAGGCGCGCGCTACCACGTCCAGCTGATTTTTTTGATTTATTGTAGAGATGAGGTCTCGCCAAGTTGCCCAGGTGGGTCTCGAACCAGCGGGCTCAGGCAATCCACTCACCTCAGCCTCCCAAGGCGCGAGATTATAGACTGAGCCACTGAGCCCGGCTTATTTTTTCTTATTGATACAGAATAGTTTGCATATTTGTGAGGTACATGTGAGATTTTGTTAAAGGCATAGAATGATCGAGTCAGGGCATCTGAGCTATCCGTCACTCTGAGTCTTTATCATTTCTATGTGTTGGGAACAATTCAAGGCCTCTCTTTTAGCTACTTTGTTTTTGTTTTGAGATGGGTGTCTTGCTGTGTTGCTCATGCTGGTCTCAAACTCCTTGTCTCAAGTGATCCCTGTCGGAGACGGGTTCCGATCTATGAGGGGGGTTGGACCTGCACCGGAGAGTCAAGACGGCGAGAAGAGACCACTCGGAGGCAGTTCTTCTGGGATCAGTCAGATCAGGACTGAGTCCAAATTTTATTCAGACTCCTTCCAACTTATATACCATTTTCTATACCCTCCAGCAGTGTGATAATTACTTGCTGGGGGCGTACAAATTCCATGATGTATATCACGCTTTACAAACTATGCATCACAAGACCATCACGAGACTTGCAAGTTCCAAGCAAACAATTACAATTCCATGATGCATGACGTGCTTCACAAAACTTACATTAAGGTCACAGGTGCACAATTTCAATACGGATTGTTCAAAGTGTTTTCCACAATGTTCAATAAATCATTCATATTATACTCTTTGTTCTAAACTCTGATTAATACAAAAAACTTTCTAAGTTAACTCTAGGTTGAATCCAAGTTCACTGACTCCTAATATTTTTTAACGATTAATATTATCAACTCAACACTATACTATAATCTATAAGTTTACTTAAATGACTTAATTTTTATTTATTCCATCAACCTATTATGATTCAACATAGTGCCCTGTAATTCTATAACAATTAATTCAAAACTTATTCTTGAACTACAAAACCTTACCATGACTTATATGAGTTTCATATATCTAAACTTTAATTTTTATATAATCTGATGATTGAACTTTAATACTATGCTATATCTTATTAGGCTAATACCTTACCATTAATTCTTTCATAAATCTTATGGTAGTTGTCATACTCTTGAACAAGGAAATGTATGGTTGCCATGATGATGGCCTTGGGCTGAAGCAAACAGAGTTTCAGCATGTAACAAAACTAGACAAACGTTCTGCCTGGCTAGAGGCAGGGCAATAAAACTATTTATGGTAATTTAGTTTCTAATCTTAGCTCTAGGAGAAACTGCTTTTGGGAACAAAAGCTGACTGACCAGTCTACCAAGAAATAGAAGTTTAAAAATGTCTTGAAAGAAGTACAACTTAGAAGGGACAAAGACATATAAAACAATTCTGCTGTGCACTTTCCATCAGGCATATTGAGATTTACTTAAAAGTTTTGTATCCTAAATTGTAAGTATTGTTGCCATGTATGCACACTGGTTACTATTCACACACCAATATTATAGGTATTGCTTGTCAGAGGCAATCTTTCAGATGGACCTTTATAGGCCTCAGTCATGTAGCTATAGATGTTGGCTCCCAACAGATCCCTCCATCTCAACTTCTGGATTGGCTGGGATTACAGGCGTGAGCTACTGCACCTTAACTATAGTTGTCCTACTTCACTGATGAACAGTAGAATTTATACCTTTCATCAAGCTGCATGTTTATATTCTTTAACGTACCTCTCTTCATTCCCCCGCGGCCTCTGGTATCTAGCATTCTACTTTCTACCTCCATGAGATCAACTTTTTTAGCTCTCACATTTGAGTGAGAATGTGTAATCTTTGTCTTTCTGTGTCTGACTTACTTCATTCAACATAGTGACCTCTGATTCCATCCATGTTGCTGTAAGTGACAGGATTTCATTCCTTCTTATGGCCAAATAGTATTTTATTAGGTATATTTCTCTATCCAGTTGTCTGTTGATGAACCCTTGGGTTGATTCTGTATCTTGGCTTTTGTGAATAGTGCTGCAGTAAACATGTGAATGCTGATATCTTTTTGATATACTGATTCATTTTCCTTTGGATAAATACCCGGTAGTGGGATTGCTAGATTATATAGTAGTTCTATTTTTGGTTTTTTGAGAAATCTCTATAATGTTTTCCATAGAGGATATACTAATTTAGATTCCTACCGACAGTGTATAAGAGTTCCTTTTTTTCCACATCCTCTCCAGCATCTGGTTTTTATCTTTTTAATGATAGCCATTCTAACTGGGGTAGAATGGTATCTTGTTGTGGTTTTGATTTGCATTTCCCTGATGTTGAGCATTTTTTCATATACCTGTTGGCTAGTTGTATGTCTTCTCTTGAAAAATGTCTATTCATTTCCTTTGCCCACTTGTTAATGAGATTTTTGTGTGTGTGTGTGTGTGTTAAGTTGTTTGAGTTCTTTGTATATTTTGGATATTAGTTCCTTGTTGGATGAACAGTTTGTAAATATTTTCTCCCATTCATTGAGTTGTCTCTCCACTCTTTTGTTTCCTTTGCTGTGCAGTAGTCTTTTGTTTGTTTGTTTTGAGTTGGAGTTTTACTCTGTCACCCAGGCTGGAGTGTAGTGGCACACACATGGCCACCACAACCTTAACCTGCTGGGCTTAGGTGATCCTTCTGCCTCAATCTTCCAAGTGGCTGGAACCACAGGTGCACACCACCATGCTCAACTAATTTTTTGATTTATTGTAGAGATGAGTTCTCACCAAGTTGCCTAGGCTGCTCTCGAACCTCTGGATTCAGGGAGTCCTCTCACCTCTGTCTCCCAAGTGCTGGGATTACAGATGTGAGCCACCATGCCCAGCTCTATGTGTCTATTTTTATACCAATACCATGCTGTTTTGGTTATTATAGCCTTTTACTATAGTACAATTTGAAGTCGGGTGATGTGATGCCTCCAGCTTTGTTTTGTTTTGTTTTGTTTTGAGTTGGAGTCTCACTCTGTCACCCAGGCTGGAGTGCAGTGGTACTCTTATGGCTACTGCAGCCTCGACCTGCTGGACTTAGGTGATCCTTCTGCCTTGGCCTTCCGAGTGACTGGAACTACAGGCATGAACCACCATGCCCGGCTAATTTCTTGACTTATTGTAGAGAAGAGATCTCTCCGTGTTGCCCAGACTGATCTCAAACCCGTGGACTCAGGCAATCCTCTCACCTCGGCCTCCAAAAGTGCTGGGATTATAGGTGTGAGCCGCTGCACCCGGCCACATTTTTTTTTTTTTGAGTTGGAGTCTCTCTCTGTTGCCCAGGCTGGAGTGCAGTGGCACACTCCTGGCCACTGCAGCCTCAACCTGCTGGACTCTGGTAATCCTTTCGCCTCAGCCTTCCAAGTAGCCGGAACTACCATATTTTTTTTTAAGCTTTCATCATTTCAAAGATCTAGCTGTGTTCTATAAGTGCATGTGGTTCATAGCTCCTTACTGCTGCTTGATATACATCCACCACTCACCCATTTCCTGTCATGGACACCTGGTTGCCTCCAGCTCCCTCATCCCCAAATTATTCCAAGGTGAATATTCTTGTACATCCCCTTAAGGACGAATGTTAGAATTTCTCTGAGGCATATAAGGTTTATATCTACCCAGGGTTTACATCTACCTGTGTTCTGTCAGATTGCTTTTTTTTTTTGAGTTGGACTCTCACTCTGTTGCCCAGGCTGGAGTGCAGTGGCATGCTTATGGTCACTGCAGCTTTGACCTGCTGGGCTCAGGCGATCCTTTGCCTCAGCCTTCCAAGTAGTTGGAACTACAGGCGTGTGCCACCACACCCGGCTAATTTTTTATTTATTGTAGAGATGAGTCTCGTCAAGTTGCCCAGGCTGGTCTCAAACCCATGGACTCAGGCAATCCTCTCACCTCGGCCTCCCAAAGTGCTGGGATTATAGGCGTGAGCCACCGCACCCGGCCAGTGTTTCTATTTTCAGAGGGGAGAGACCCCCCCTCTTGTAGCCTCACCTCCTCCATCCCAGCTGCTGACACTCACACTATCTGATGTAGTCCACCGGATTGAGTGTTTAGTGGTGAACCTTGTGTGGCAGCTTCAGAGAGTGATTTCTTTCCACACTTTTCATTCGTATAGCCCAACTGCAATTCAAAAAAGTTTCTCTGCTGGAAAACTCCGGTGAGGTCATAGGATCAGAGGGCCTCTGGAGGCCCTTGCTGAAGATGAGCTCTGCTCTGGTGAGGTCCAACCTAGGTCATCACAAACCTGGCCTGCTGAGTGATGGGGACTTCCTAAAGTGCCTTCATCCTGATGTGCCCTGCTGGGCCAGTGGCATGAGTCACAGTCCCCATGCATGCTGTCCTGGGGACACCTGGACCTGGGGCCAGTGTCAGTGGAGGAAGGGGGTCTGGGTTTTCACATATCACTATGTATCTGTTCTTTCCCATTGATCTTAGGCTCTACACAGAGAACAGAGGGAGCTGGTGGCTGTGCTGAGGGAGCCCAAGTGAGGAGACGGTGGGCCCAGAAGCAGAGGGCAGACAAGGTCAAAGGCCTGTGGTCGAGAATGCTGGGTCTGGCGAGCTGCCTCTGAGAACAGCTGAAATGGTGCCCAGTCCCTAAGCAGTGGTGCTGTTTGCTGGAGGACCAGGCCAGAGCAAGCCCCACTGCCGCTGTGCCTTTGGGGCTCCCTTGGGATTAGTCTCACACACTACACCCTTTGGATTGCTCCCTGTTTCCTTCTGACTAGAGGACCCCTGGCCAACTCCCACCATGGGAGCCAGACAGTATGCTTTCCTCCTATGCCAGATCAGTTCTGCCCCAGCTTTTCCTGTCGCGTCCTGGCCCCCATCCCTGGGACCTGGCTTGAGGATCTGTTTTCAGTCTGTGATGATTGCCCCCTTGCTGGCCAGCTCCGGGGCCCTCACCATGTTCTCCCCACATCTGTAAATAAACTTCCTCCACACACTGTAATCTGTGAGGATGCTTCCTCTGCCCAGGCTGCTCCTGGGCCAAGCCCTGCTCCAGGATTCCCCAGGGCTGGCTCCGGTCAAGTCTTGGTCGCGGTTCTCTCAGAGCCTCCAGCTGGGGTGGGCTGGCAAGGGGCACCCCCTGACAGAAACCAGGACTCCTGGTTCCCCTGGCTAGGAGGAGCTGCCAAGGGGCGGGGGTCACTCTGTCTAACCCAGCCTACCCCTCCTGATGTCGCTTGGGTTGATCCCGAGAGTATTCATGATGGGCCTCTCCCGGCGTCTGCAGAGGGTGGGGCGCACAGGGCCCGGCAAGCCCTCCAGAACAGCTGGGCGCCCCGTCTTCTTGCTGCTTCCGCCTCACTCTTCTCCAGCCAGGGCCAGCCAAGGAGGGACGGGTGCTTTCTGAGCCAGGGGGCAGGGAGCTGGGTGTGGAGAGGACCTCACCCAGAGCCCTTGGAGAGAGGCTTGGTTGGGTCTGTCTGAGGCACACTGGGGGCAGCTGGGAAGACATCAGGGTTGCCCCTGTTTGCCACGTTCTCCCCTTAAACTGGGCTCAGGCTCTGTGTACCTCAGCACACCTGTTCACCGAGGGGCTGTGGCATTTAAGCATCCAGTCCCCCTCCTGGTCAGTGTCCCTCCAGGGTTTTGTTTGTTTGTCAGGCTAGGCTGACAGTCTCCAGCCCTGGTGGGTGGGTGGGTGGGAGAGGACACAGGTCAGATACAGGGAAGGTGCCAGCACCCCTCCCTTCCCTGCAGGCTGACCTGAGGCAGTGGCAGCTCTTAGGTGTGGGATGGAGTTTTCAGGCTGGGATGCTCTGTCCTGTGGAGGACAGGCCTTTCTGTCATTTCTGGGGGTACTGCAAGAGGTTTCTCCCCAAGGTTGTTAACACCGGGCAGGCTGCAGGGCAGGAGAACCGAGGCCTAGAGCCCCAGAGTGCACGCCATCTCCCTATTCCTCGCAGGTCCTGCCTCCCCACCTGTCGGGGCACAGGGAAGGGGGCCCACCCCCGTGCCCTGCCTCCCTGTCCTGTGCCCTGTGCACCTGCCAGTCCCAGGGATGGACAGGCTGTCCATACTCATGTCTGGCCCCTCATCTGTTGGCTTTTGGCTCTTGGCCTGTGCAGCTCTGACCCTTTCTGTCCTGCACAGGGCCTGCCCCCATACCTGGCTGCCCTCAGTGTCTCGCCGGGTGAATGAGGGCATGGCCAGGCCAGGCACTCCCTCCTTGGGGCTTGGCTCCTGCCCGTGGAGCCTCCAGTAGAAATCACAGGTTGTGAAGAGCTGGAGCCCAGTTCTGCTGGAACCTGCTTAGACCTCTGAACCCCCCTTCCTCTCTGGATACCCCTAAAGCCCAGCCAGTGCTCACACTGTAGGGGGGTATCCAAGGAAGGTTGACTAGGGGCTGGGGACCCGGGCCCACCCCCAGGAAGGGGCCGTGCTGAGAGCCTGGCAATCTCATGGTGGCGCGCCCTCCCACCCCTCTGGCCCGCTGCCCAGCAGCCACAGCTCCCAACCGCAATATCCTCTGGGGTTTGGCCTGCAGAGCTGGGCGGATGACCCCCAAATAGCCCTGGCGGGTTCCCCCACGACCCACCCGCACCACAGTCAGGCTCGCTCCTCCTCACCTCTGGGCACAGCCCAGAGGGTATAAACAGCGTTGGAGGCTGGAAGGGTGGATCAGCCAAGTCTTGAGCAGCAGCCCTGACCACAGCCGCTGACAGACACCATGAAGGCCCTCACTGTCCTTGTCCTGCTGACCCTGGCCGTGCTCTGCCTCACTGGCCAGGCAGGTGAGTCCCCATCTCCACCCGAGCCGTTCTTCAGTGGGGACCGAGGGGGAAAGGAAATGCCATAGCCCCACTTCTCCTCACCCCTCCCACTGGCAGTCCCTTCTGCAGTCTAACCAGGCTCCATCCATTTGTCCATCCAGGCTCCATCCAACTCTGTCTTGTAGAGGGAGACAGGGGAAGAAAGATGAGGGCCCTTGGGATGAGCAGGGGTGAATTGTGTTCCTTTCCTTTGCAGATGCGAAGCCCAGCAGCGCAGAGTCAGGCAAAGGTGCAGGTACGAAGATAGTTTGGGCCTGGCGGGGGATCCATTCTACCCACCTCCTCAACCTGGTCCCCTTAGTCCCACCTCCCCACCACCGACTCCTGCTGGCAGGAAGGCCTGCCTGCGTCCTGCCTGACCCCTCCCTGCCCCTGTGCCCACAGCCTTCGTGTCCAGGCAGAAGGGCAGCGAGGTGGTGAAGAGACCCCGGCGCTACCTGCATCAGTGGCTGGGGTAAGTGGGGTGGAGCTGGCCGGGCCACCTCTCACGGGTGGCTGGGGTGGGGCCAGCAGGGAGTGGCCTCTATGGGCTGCCGTGGGGGGACACTGGAGCCCTGTGTGCGGTGGGAGGAGGGGTGGGCATTTCACCTGGAGGCTGATGTCACTGTGTTGGGCATCTCAGGGCCCCAGCCCCCTACCCAGATCCCCTGGAGCCCAAGAGGGAGGTGTGTGAGCTCAACCCGGACTGCGACGAGCTGGCCGACCACATCGGCTTCCAGGAGGCCTATCGGCGCTTCTACGGCACGGCCTAGAGCACCTACCCTGCTGGCCTGGTGGGCGATCCTAGCTCGGGCCCTCTCCAGGCCCCCTTCCCGTCTCCTGCCCTCACCCTGGCGTCCCTGTCCTGTGAGTGCGGGGTCCTCCTCATCCCAGCTGTTCCCAAATAAACTCCAGAAGAGGAATTGGTGGCCTGTGAGTCTGTCCGTCTGTGGAGTGTGCGAGAGAGGCATTAGGTGGGTGGGGGGGAGAAGAGGCTTTACATTCTTCAGTTCAGAAACTGCATCCCAAAGTCTGTTTATTGATTTATTTGTTCCTGCCTTGTTCCAGAAAGCATTGAAAGTGGCTTCCTAAAGTCTAACTAGGGTTTACCCTCTAGCCCAGCCCCCTCCCCCTCCTCAACCACTGAACCATCTGTGACATACCTGGAGAGACCCAACCCCCAGAAGCCTGGACACCTGGAGTATACAGTTATGACCAGGACAGACAGACTTCATCTCTGCAGGCAAACAGCTGCTGGCAGCCCGAAGCCACCTGGTTTGGGGGTCGGGGGAAGCATATGGCCTCCTGGCCTGGTTAACAAGCATTCGGGCCAGGCCTAGGTTAGTTATGTTAGTTCTTCCCCGGGATGAGCAGAGACATCCAGGAGCACCAGAAACGGGGCCAGATGAAAGGGCCCCAGCACCTCCCACCACAGCTGCTGACAGGGCACGGTCGCAGCAGTGCCTGGACACACAGGCCTCTCCCCTCTCAGACCCTCAGCACGTGCCCCCTCCCATCAAGAGCCCCCTTGCAGGCCTTCTCACGCCCTGCTAGTTCCCCCGGGTCACCCCTCCTCTCCTCTGCCCTCCCTCCTCAGCCCCTCTCGGTTCCAGGCTCAGGTGTGCCCCCACCCTATCAGGCCGAGGTCTGGGCTCTTCCCCAGCACTGGGGCCTGGTCTCTGCCCCCTCCAGGGCAGGGTCAGGGATGGGGCCTCACTGTCGTTTGGCCTGGGTGCCCCTCTCCGGTGGGCCACCCTGCAGCAGCGGGCATGTGCCAGGGGCTCGAAGCAGGGAGGCTGTGAAAGCAGCAATGATGAGTAGGTTTCCGGCCACCGCCAAGCCTAGCGTGGCCACCGTGCCAGCCAGGCCCAGCGGGGGCTCCTGCCTGGCCAGCCAGGCTCTGCGCGATCCCATGTCAGCCAGCACCGCCTCCAGCTGGAAGTGGGTGCCCAGCACTGCACAGATGTGGAACAGCTGGTGGCTGTGGCCTGTGTGGAGGATGGGCAGGTCGGGCACGTCCTGACACCCTGAGCCCCAGAGCAAGTCACCCCAGCCTCTGGGTCCACTACTCCCCATAAATTGGAAGTAAGAAGCCCTGACTCCCAGAGTTGGACGGAGTGGATGGGGTGATGGGCATAGGCCCCGGCACGAGGGTGGGGGACGGACTGGAGCCTTGGGGCGATGCTCTGTAGTTCCAGGACAGGGAAGTTCTTCCTGTAATTTGCTTCCACCCTCAGCAACGGCCCCTGTTTACCCAGTTCCCTCCGTGCCCCGGGAGCCTGTCTCCCTCCGCCCCTTCCCGCGGGCCAGGCAGGGCATGCGCTCACCGATGTAGTCAAAG